TATCTGCAGTACAGTAAAAACATCTAGCTTGCGTCCAATGGCCGCTAATGAAAGTAACTCGCAAGCTCAAGCTGAGCGCAGCTCAGACGAAAATTGACAATTTGGCTTACAATTTCGATTCAATAATAATGAGATAAATAATTAATAAAGTAAAGATACAATATATATGACATTTTGTCATTTGTCATCATATGTATGTATATATATTTGTCTTCAAAGCTTTCTCTTATTCACAATGAGCTTGAGCAGTAACAGTTGCTTGCTACCTGGTCTTCGTCCATTGGCAATCGAAATAACTCAGTGTAAAGGGACTAACTACCTACCTCGCTCTCACTCAGCAAGAGGCAAGGCTATGTTCAGCAACAGCTATCTTTAGCTCACTCTCTCTCACGGAATGAGTAGGTAGTTGTACACAGAGTTAGACAGCGTTTAGCTAAGACGCAAACCCATTCGGATCATAGTTTTGCAACAACCTATGCAAGATCTCTCTCTCTCCTTCTGTCTCACAGTAGTATTATTATGCTTTTAATACTTAAGTCATAAGTATTTCAAGTATAGTCATGCTTAAGTTATGGACATTTAAAATATTGTATTGATATAGCCCAATTGATTATTTAAATTTACTTGCCTTCCTTCTCTCTCTCACCCACTGTGTTAAATAGACAAGCAACCCAGCTCAACACTCGATCACATTAAATCCACTCATGCTTAAGCTGTTTGTTATTAAATATGTTTGCTTTTATGTTTAATAGACGCACAAGTTTGGGATGTACTTTGTTTATGGCCCTGTTCCAAGAAGGTCGCCAAGGCAGCGCACAAAAGTAGGCAACACAGAGGCAACAACAAACCGGCGGCATTGTCAACGCCAGCCATTGTTGTCCTCGTCTGTTGGGCTTTGGGCTGACGCCAACGCACTTAGACGCACCTTCACACACACGCACACACACACAAGCGATAGCATTTCTTGACTCATTAACAGGCCGCAACTCGCAGCAGCAATTGCTGTAAATGCTCAGCAGCAGCAGAGATTACTTTGCCGGATTCCCGGCAGCAACACGCTCACGTTTAGCTACGTTCAGTTCGCTTCAGTTCAGTAGGTGACACCAATGTGCGCGTAGGTGCCCGACGCACAACGTCTGGCCTATTTGCAACCGTGCCGCGTCGCGTCGCCCACTGAAGACAGAGTGCACTTGACGCCATTGCTCCAGATTTATCAGCGCGCATGTGTGCATGTGAGTGTGCGGACTTGTACATGTGTGCAGGTGACCATATGTGTGTGATTTGTGTTTGTGTGGATAGGTGCATACAAGTTAAAGCCAACGATACTCTAGGGCATGGGCGTGCCATTAGCACGGCGCACGGTGAGCAGGAATTTACAGTGAGAGCAAAAATTTGAAAAATATAAAAAATTATATTTAATTACAAGTGTTTATATGTATTTTTTTATGCAAATTTAATTTTGTCTTTTTGGTATATTTATATAAAAAATATGTTTACATTTTTTTTATAATAAACATTACAAATAATAATAGATACAAATAATTTCAGGCAGTTCCTTAGATTTTTATGTTTGTAAAATTTTTCTTATGCAAGCTAATTTTTTTTTTTACATTTTTTTTAGTACATCTAGAGCTTGTTTAAAAGTTTTCAACAACAGCTTGCAGACTGTTGTCATATATATTTTTGCCAGTCATATCTGCGAACTGTCCCATTGTGCATTTGCTTTGCATTTGATGATATAAAAAGTTGCTCCATGTAAGTTGAAACTGTGCGCATATCGCTCAACTCTGATACATTTGCTTCGCAAGGGGGCGCCCTTAGAGCCGCGCCCCCCAGCGCTCGCTCTTGCCGCAGCTTTAGACAAATTTCTTGGAAAGTTCGAACCGCCGCCCTGCCACTGCGAACTTCATACAAATCCGCAAGCTGGCAACTTTTTTTTTTTTTTCTTAGACGTAATTATGCAAAAGTTAAACGCCGCCAACGCCAACGCCAACGTCAACGCGTTCCGCCGTCTGGAAAATCATTCAGCACTTGAGCTGTCGCGTTAAATTATGCAAAAAAAATGGCAAAGAAAACGGAAAATAAGAATAGGGAAAATATAAAATGAAAAAGTAGGAGTAAAAAAAACAGAGCATTCATTAAGAAAGCGCATTGCATTCGGTCATTGTGTGGAGCGTTTACTGTACGTGTGTGTGTGGCATTCCATGCAATACGATTTGCGACACGCTTAATTGTGGCTCAGAGAGTGTGGCATGTTGCCCACTTGATGCCAATTGGCTGGAAATTACGTTAATCCGTCGAGTGTGCTTACACTGGCTTACAAAATCACGTTCGCGAATCAACCGTGCTGCTTGCTGGCATTAATGCCAACAGCAATTCCCTGAAATTTACACTTAATGCGATTGTTGCGTGTGGCTTACTGAAAGAACAACAAAAGAAAATGCCTTGATCTTTGTTTGAGTGGATTCTGGGAATTGCTGACATCCATTTAACTTATAAATATTTATATTATGCATTTATTTGAGGTATTTAAAGTTATTTCTATCGATATTTTATTTCAACACTTACAAATTGTGCTTAAGAAATCTGACAAAACTTTCAGTTTGCTTTTAAACTAGAGAGAATTGTTGGCTTGAGCATTGGTGTTAGTGAGAGAAAGCATTAAAAATTCTTAATTGGTTTGCGTATATGTAGAGTAAAGTAATAATAATCTCAAGGCAATCAACTCTACAAAAATGTTTTTATTCATTTATTTATTTAAATTTAGAGCAATAAATTAATTAATATAAATTCTCAAAGTGTGATAGAGCAAAAAAAATAATAATAATAATAATAAATAAATAAAATAAAATTAAAATAAATAAAACAGTAATTCTTAAAAATGATTATCATATTGAACAAATTTCAAATGCACAAATACATAAGTTATTTATAGGTATATACTACTACTTCATAGATATACCTACTATAGATATATACTACTTTAATCTTATGTTATGTTATGTTCTGTAAAAATACAGTCAGTTATATATATCATAAGATAATTGTTTATTTGTGCTTTACACTTAAAAACCATTTAATATTGCTCCATCTCTCACCCACTCCGCTTGGCTTAATGCCCAGAAGGCCAACAGCAATTAGCCAAAACACAAACAATTCAATTTAAAAGTGTTCATTGCTTGAGAATAGGCGCCAATAATTGCTGTTGGGCTTGATTACTGGGAATGCGGAGACACACTATCATCAACTGCTCGTTACGCGCACTTTCCAAAATGGGCGGCACTTAAAGCGATGGGCGGGAACAGGACACTTAATTACATGCATTGGCCACTGTCGTCATGTCATGTTCTGCGCTGTCAACTGTCCGTTGTCCGGTGTCTGTTGTCTGTTGTCCGTTGTTCAGTGCTCAATAGCTGTTGTATTCCGTCAATTATGGCGTGTTCGACATGTTTGTGCGTGTGTGTGCCTGTATCCGTGGTCGAATCCGTGCCGTGGGCATCAATCAAATGGACATGTTACAATAATTTCATTTCACAACAAAAAATTAAATGCAGTCGCGTGCCTCACATATTTACATGACTATTAAATTAAAAAACATGAATGGACAGGACACGCACATTGCACACACACACACACACATGCACACACATAGGCACATAAGCTACCATCGTTTAGTCAGCTCTGAATGGCTGGCCATAAAAATGGTCTACTGACATGCCACAATTTCGAAAAGTGTCTATGAATATGAATGTTTGCCAGAGCGAGTGCGAGTGCGGTTTAAGGTCGCTTTATTTGCTTTTAATTTACTGGAAAATAGGTGCGAGGATATACAGATAGATAGAGCGTGCAATTGTTTATTCGGTTATGAAACTCGTGTGATTAGCTAGATAAATCAAACAGTTAGCATTGAGCGATAAGCCAACAGTTTAAAGGTTTAGAAAAATTTTATTTTAAAATTAGTTGTTCCTTTTGAATGAAAAGTTGATAAAAGGATTGAATTTTGAAGAGTCTGTTCCAGCAGCTTGCCTTGGCTAATTATATTCGATTTTTAATAAATAGAACTTTAAGTTATATACCCATACGTTATAGAGCTTTCAGCTATATTATCAAAGATTATAACTCCCATAAGCATATATACAAGATATACGCATATATATTGTATATTTATGTGGGATTCCTAAAAGTTACGTCATCCCTGGCAGAAGCATCGCGAAGTCGTTCGGAGTAAACGTAAGCCTAGAGCTAGATAGGCCGTTGATAGACATAAGAAAGGAGAGTCGTCAAGTAGAGAATTCGTACAGCGGAGTCGCATAGTTCGAAGTTGAAAAGTACGGGCTAAGCGAATAAAGAACTAAAGTTATGAAATAGAAGTCAAAAAGAGGTCACAAGAAGTGTAAATAGATACGAACGGTCGATCGCCTGAAAAGATAACGTTTTGCGTTCGATTAATTAAATCAATCCTTATACTTAATCAAATAATATAATATAAATTATAGAATTTTTTTTTTTTTTTTTTTTTTTTTTTTTTTTTTTTTTTTAAAATTTTTTTTTTT